ACTAGATAGCCGAGGACAAGGAAGGGGCGGACACGAGATACGTGTTCCATTGTATGTGTAATCCCACGGGTCTACATACATACACATACATACACACAACGTTAATACAAATCTAAAAATAATATCTTACTTTCCGGATAACCTCATAGTGGGTTATACTTTAATAGAATAGAATAGAATAGAAAATCATTTATTCAAATAAACTTACATTGAAGCACTTTTGAATAGTCATAACATTTTTTTTTTAATCTACCGCTCATTCGGAATGCTGTCTCATCACAAGAAGAACGAGCAAGAAACTTGTGTGTTGCTCTTTTAAATAATTTATTCTTACTTACAATTTAAGTTTAAGTGTGTGAATACAAACCACCGATTAGCACTAATCAATGAAATATCATCATTGCCTTGCCTTTATCCCATTATTTGGGGTCGGCGCAGTATGTCATTCTCTTCCACTGATCTCTATCAATCGTCATATCTAAACATACTCTTCTTTTATTCATATCATCTTTCACACAATCCATCCATCTTTTCTTAGGGCGTCCCCTCCCTTTACATCCATCCACATTCATATTATACACTTTCCATAAGACATGGTCCTCATTCCTCCGCATAACATGCCCATACCAGCTCAATCTGTTACCTCGCAACTTTTCTATAACCGGCGCAACTTTCAAACTTCCTCGTATATACTCATTCCTTATTCTGTCATTCCTGGTAACCCCACACATCCATCTTAACATTCGCATTTCTGCCACATGCACACGCCTTTCGTCCATCCCTTTTACGGCCCAACATTCAGATCCATACAAAATGACAGGTCTTATGATAGATTTATAAATTTTACCCTTTAGTTTCAAGGGCATTCGGGGGTCGCATATCGTTCCCGAGACCTGTCGCCATCTCATCCATCCCGCACTAATTCTGTGCCTTACATCGCGGTCTATGTCGGCATTGTTCTGAATAACTGAACCGAGGTACCGAAAATCGGAGCAGACCGGAAGCATTACACCGTTTAGATAGATAGGCTTGAAACTGGAGAGACCGCCGAAATCGCAGAATAGGTATTCAGTTTTAGTTCTGCTGATCTTCAAGCCAACACTCTCCAGTTTTTCTTGCCATCTATCTAGTCTACTCTGGACCTCGATTCCATCCTCACCAACAAGCACAATATCGTCGGCAAACAGCATACACCAGGGTACCTCGTCCTGAATGTCCGATGTCATAATCAATGAAATAATAAAATAGAAAAAACATTCAATATGCAACAACTGGTTAAACAATTAATAAGAGAAAATAAATCATAGTGATTAGAGCAGACCAGTCCATACAAGTAGCACCCGTTCACGAGTATGACGGATGAGCCAGCCACCACTGCGCTCGACCATATTTTAGGGAGCCCAATGACCCGGCCCACCACGCCGCTACAAGTCACGCTATAATGTGAGGAAACGTTCAGTCTATTATTTATAACTATCATTATCATTACATAGTATAAATCAAAGTCTCTGTCGCTGTCTGTCTGTTCCTATGTATGCTTAAATCTTTAAAACTACGCAACGGTAGTACAAGAGTAGAGGTACGCTAGTAACCATAACAGAAGCTCTGCTAACATAGGACAATGTGATGGCTCGGTGTGAATTGTACTGAGATATTATTATTAAATAAAACACATATCTGTTATTTCTGATAGATTGTTCGGATTAATACCAGCTGCTGAGTTTCACCACCGTACAACCGTACACCGTACCGCCAGAAACTAAAACACCATCCTGATCATCTGTATGAATGGCGGTCCTCCACAGTGCGGCTTTCTAGAGCCTTTTTGCCACATACAACCACATTGTGGAATCACTTTACAGCAATGGTATTTCTGCCACATAGCGCCATCTAGTCCCAAGTTAAGCTTGTGTTATGGGTACTAGATAACTGATACAAAAACATAGATAATTTTTTCGTATTATACATAGTATACATAGAAAACACCCAGACCGATACAAACAATCATACTCATGAATACAAATGTTTGTGCCGTGCGAGGAATCGAACCCGCGACCATCGGACGTATAGCGGTATGTTGGCTGTGCCGGCACATTATAAATTTGTTTAAATTAATTCCCATTAAAACGGTAAATGGTCGCAAAATAAAAGTGGTTCCCCGCCATCGGAGATGGACAGTTTTCATTACGGTAACAATTCAGGTGGCTGGACCAGTTTATTTTAATGGAGCGATTAAAACGTCCAATCGCGGAGTGGAGGGGCGAGCCGAGAAAGATTGGAGAAACGGGGGTAATCAGAGAATTAATTGATCCGCGGTCGATAGCCAATACCTTTATTCAGCTTTGTCTGGCTCATTCCGCTAAAAGAAATTAAAAACGAATTGTTTGTGCTCTGTTTTTACCAAAATTAATTGTCTTTCTCTCTTCATGCAATCTTTGTTGTTTTTTTAACGGTTTTTTTTTTCAATTATAGACTGTTTTATTTTCAATTAAGGGTTCTTTTTGTAATTATTCTATTTTTGTAACTAATTTATTCTTATTGTATTCATACAAATTCTTAAAAATGTATAGTATACTAGCTGTCCCGGCAAAGGTTGTTTTACCTTAAAATAAAAAAAAAATTGAGGGGTGGACTACCCCTAACATTTAGGGGGATCAGACCTACTCAATACGCTCACAAAATTTCATGAGGATCGGTCAAGCCGTTTCGGAGGAGTATGGTAACGAAAACTGTGACACGAGAATTTTATATATAAGATTAAAAGAGCACACATCATTCTTCTCAAGCTGAGTCTGCGTTTCAAATGAATGGTAAAATAAAAAAAATACGATTATTCAGAAGTGTTATTAAGTTTATATTATAAATATTGTTACAAACTTAATCTCAGACCTACACCTACCTACAAAATTTAATCAAAGTTGGTCAAGCTGTTTCGGACCTATGTTAGATAAACGCAGAATCATTATCATCACTCTTATAGCCGTAGCACTGAAGAGGAAACGCCACTACACATCCTATGTGGTTGTAGCCCACTCATGCATAAACGAAATATCTCCTTTGGAAAGTTTACACTCTTTCCCGAGGAGATAAAAACCATCGTTCCTAAGAATATCCTTCAATTCTTGTCCCTGACGGGTCTAGGTAGCGAACTTTGAAAAAGGGCGAGCACAATAGATCTATGTAGGTCGCAGTGCTACAGGTACTACACAACTGACAATAGCCGGGGGGAAGGGGATTGTTAGTAATGTGGACTGATGATTCCATTGCTAACAATGTTCCATGTCAGGTTGACCTCCACGCGGTTCCCCCTGGAAACCATCGTGATAAATTCCCGGTGAATTTATCACGATGGGCTAACTGACCTGACTTCATGTTCATCTTATCATCCTCCACTGGTGCCCCGCCAGCGTAAACCGTTAGCGCAGGTGGGAGCATCATTCCATTATCATTCACTAAAAAAAAAAAAACTGACAATAGCCCAAAGAACCCAAAAAAAAAAAATCGCCGTAGCAATATTACTTTAATAATAATAATAATAATAATCTCAGGACAATTCACACAGCGCCACATAGACCCAAGTTAAGCTAGCTAAAGCTTGTGTTATGGGTACTAGATAACTGATACAAGTACATAGATAATTTTTTTTTTCGTAAATACATACATAATATACATAGAAAACACCCAGTGTTTAGTAGGGAATCTTCTATGTATACTAACAATTAAAACTGTAATCACTAAATATATATCTTTAATTTGTAGCCTCAAATATATTTGTACATTACATCACTTTGAAAACTCTTATAACGTATTTATGTAATAAATATGACAATATATATATTTTCTCTACAGTTCCCTTCTGATCTCTATAATATTATATTTTTTACATTTTGGCGCCAAAGTTATTTCACCTTTTTAAAAGCAACGGAACAAACCCAAACAGCTATAATAATGAGACAATATTCAAACAAGTGGGATATTTAACATTCCGCCCACCAAGGACTACATGTCCTTTATTTCAAATCCGCCCACCGTGAAGCAACTAAATCAAATATATAATAATGAAATAAAAAATCGAAACAAACTCAAAACTCATGTACAATATTAAATCTATTTCATTCCTGAACTAAATACACTAACATAAATAAGAATGAATAAGAAGAATTGCCCAAACTCAGTCAAACAATGGACAGTATACAGAATTTCAACATGACATAAATGTTTTAAGATTGTCTATACACCAAACTTATATGGCACAAGGATATAACTGTGCTATTCTGCCAAAAACCCATTTTTTTGGAGTTGAATTATTTTACTAAACTAATTGAGATACACATCTGCCTTAGGACTGTCAATAATATGATTATTGCAATTATCACATGTAGTCTAATTGTAATTTGTAGTATATTCAATATATATTTCAATATATGTATAGTATTTTGGTTTTCAGCCTAGTTTTAGCTACCAATTAATAAAATGTGCGCTCAAAAAATCATAATAGACACTCAAAGTTCTATAACAACCACTGTCAAAGTGTTGAGAAATATATTACAAAATCCATACAATTCTTTACAGTTAAATCATGAATGTTCTCGTGTGCAATACAAAATTCGTACAATATAACATATTATAATGAATAAATATTATTTTAGTAAGTAAATCATATATTATTTTTGTATATGTTATCTGAATCAAATATTAGAATTATATTCATTATCATTAGTTTATGATCGAAGATAATTTCACTGAGTATTAAAATGTATTGAAACATCTACACCAGATAATACTTCCTACTTTCACTATTTTTACATTATCCATACTAATTTATATTTTCTATATTATCTCTTATTTGTTGCTCTGAAACTAGCATTTGTTATTTATGCATTTTTCAGCATATTTGATTTGCTTGAACTCTTCATTCTAAATATGTCCCTATTAACAATTATTATCGTTGAACGTTGCATCTTTGACTTTTTTGCAGAATTCATTTGAATTTTGAAATTTTAATATATATTATGTTTAACAGTAGACTTGTCCTTCTGAACCACAACATTCTGCAATGCGATGCGATTCTGCAATTTCGTTCTATCAACATTCTGTTCTATCATCACATTATCTTTTAAATATAAGTAATCTTTCATTACTTTTATATTGTGTCTTTTATACTCATTAGTTCTATTAAACTCTTTTTTCGTATTATAAAATATTTTAGTATGAAACATGGACTTGACATTATGTCTACTTTTAATATATTTTTTATTGTTGGTCAACCGCATACATTTTTCTTGATCTTCCGGAGTTCCTAAATTATATGTACTATTTGATTCTACTTCCCGATAACCTTGTAGTATATTATCATCTTTTTCTATATTACTATGCAAAACCACTATATTATTTTTAGAATTTATACATTGAACAGGTCCAGATAAAACCCACCCTAAAGAGGTGCATTGTGCTACAGGAGAACCACGTGGACCTCTTATTATACCCTCTTGTAAAATCTGGCTATAGACTTCTGCTCCTAATAACATGTCAATTTTATTTGGAACATTGTATTGTGGATCAGCCAGTGTAACGTTAGCTGAATTAATCCAATCTATCTTAGGTATCTGTTTAGCTGACATGTAAGATGTAATCTGTTTTAAGATATGTGTTGTAACATTAGTGCTAAAAGTTGAATCAAACATTGACTGAATTTCCAATAATATTTTCCCTTTTGAAGCTACCGAACCATAGTAACCACCAAGCCCAGATATTATAGTCTTTGCACTTGAACTTTTTAAACCTAATCTTTGAAATGCAGTTTCTGAAATGAAAGAGGCTTGTGAACCTTGATCTATAATTGCTCGAAAAACCTGATATTGACCTGATCCCGATTTGACTCTCACTAGAGCTGTTGTTAAGAGAACTTGATTTTCTGTGCTAGTACTCAAACACGATACTACAGAATCTATTGGGGTCTCGACTTGGTTGTTAGATATTGGGACTTCACCGATATTATGTACTGAATCATTTTGATGGCTAGTTTCAGAGGTCAAATTTGGTGGATGTAGAAGTGAGTGATGTCTTTTTTGACATACTCTACAATTAATAGGTTTTTGACAGAATCTCACAGAATGATTGCTTCCCAAGCAATTGAAACAAATACGATTATTTACAACAAACTCGTGTCTATTTTTATAACTTTCTGAAATAAAGTCCATACAGAAACATAACTTATGGTTACCGGAACAATATTCACACGCTACTTCAAATACATTTGTATGTAGTACTCTAGGTCTAACAGGGTTTTGTACTAAATTCCCATCTATTCGTCTATTACTGAAGCTAGATTCTGTAAACTCGAGAGCTCTGTAGCGACAGGTAAGAAACTCTTTAAACTGTTGAAATGTGGGTAAAATGTTTAAACAAGTGTTAGTACTAATATTTAATTCCCACTGCTTTCGTGATTCAGGATCTAATTTTAACGTGAGTATATGAATTAATAGTATATCCCAGGATGAAATATTTACTCCAATATTTACCAAAGAATTCAAACATTCAGTCGAAGTATCTAATAATTCTTTAAGAAAATCTGCCGTTTCAGTAACAGCATTTGTTTGACCTAAAAGCCTTGTAAGTATACAGTGAGATAAATATTTTCTATTGTTATACCTGTCCTCAAGTTGCTTCCAACATATGTCATAATTAGTTTCAGATACAGAAATATGCCTTACTAATTGCTCTGCCTCGCCTGTCAAACATCCCTTAAGGTAATGCAATTTCTGCACTTTATCTAAAGATGAGTTATTATGAATCATAGACAGAAATAAATCACGAAAAGTAATCCATTCGCTGTACTTTCCTGTAAAAATAGGTATATTAACCTTTGGGAGCCTGACATAGCTTGGCTTAGCACTTGTATCATCATTACTAATGAAAATAGTTTCATTACCCGACCTCTCTGGTATAAAACCTTTTAACAGTTTTGTCAACTCACATTTATGATCTATATACACTTCTTCAGCCTTATCATATATTTCATCAGTAACATAAATATGAATATTCAATTTATCTGGATCTGCTACTTTAAGAAGCTCTTTATGACCCGCTTTAAATTCAGACCATAACTCTTCTATTACTTCTAGTTTACTCTCTATATATTCCATTGTAATACGGCTTTTAGGCGATTTTTTAAAGTTAGTCCTAGCCTTACAAATTCGTGTGTATAGATCATTTTGAACATTAATTAATGAATCCATTTTACAAACGCTAATTACATAAAAATATTAAGATATAAGAATCTATTCAATTATAGTTGCTGTCTTGTCAATTTACAATTTACACTTATTAATTAAATTAAAATTCTATAATATATATATTGCTCTGTTGTTTCAATGTAATAAGAACCTATTAAGTAAATTAAACTACAAACATAAACTACAGAGTAAATTTAAATTAAACGAAATTATAGTTTAAACATACAGGCCTCAGACTAATAAAATATAAAATCACTTTACAAATATAAATATAAGTGTATCTTATCCTAATATTGTACGATATTAATCATTTTTGTCTATTTATAAATTTTCCAAATCCTTGTTTCACAAATATCAAAGTCAATACTTTATTGAAAGATTGTTGCAGTACATCATTCTTGCCACCATATAGATAATAAAGTTAATTTAATTGTATCTTCATTGACTATTGTTCTCTTCAATTAATAAATTTCGCCTACAATTAATAATTTATGGAATGTACTCACAGTTTCCACTTCACTCACTTATTGATAATCAGATATCACAGCAATATTATTTCTCTGCTTCCATGTATCGAAATTACTCCGAACAGCGCCTACAACAGTCTACAACTAGCTTGACCACTGATGTCACGAAAACAACGCACTATAGGTACCATGAAGTGACGCCACTGATGCTACTCGTTGTTGTACTATGGACTTGTCCAGCAAAAAACTTCTGTTTCTTAGTTTAGTCAGGTTATATAGGTAATCAATTTACACTAAACTAAACCAAACTGAATTTAAATCCGGCTCGATTTTGGACCAAATGTTTAGTAGGGAATCTTCTATGTATACTAACAATTAAAACTGTAATCACTAAATATATATCTTTAATTTGTAGCCTCAAATATATTTGTACATTACATCACTTTGAAAACTCTTATAACGTATTTATGTAATAAATATGACAATATATATATTTTCTCTACAGTTCCCTTCTGATCTCTATAATATTATATTTTTTACATTTTGGCGCCAAAGTTATTTCACCTTTTTAAAAGCAACGGAACAAACCCAAACAGCTATAATAATGAGACAATATTCAAACAAGTGGGATATTTAACACCCAGACCGATACAAACAATCATACTCATGAATACAAATGTTTGTGCCGTGCGAGGAATCGAACCCGCGACCATCGGACGTAAAGCGGTGTGCTTGACCGCTAGACCACCGAGGTCGTCAAAACTGAACTTACTTTTAGTTCCTTAAGTTTTCAGAAATAAGTATTATTCTTTATCGATTGACCAGCATAATAAAACTTCTACAGGGTGTACATGTATTATATACATAAACCTTCCTCTTGAATCACTCTATCTATTAAAAAAACCGCTTTAAAATCCGTTGCGTAGTCTTAAAGATTTAAGCATACATAGGGACAGACAGCGACAGCGACTTTGTTTTATACAATGTAATGATTTAATTAAAAATTTCACAATGTTTTTTTGCGTTGTTATCAATTGAAATGACATTAATGTAACTGCCTGAAATTAACTCCTTCCTATATAGTAACTGAAAAATAATATCATGAAATTCAACAAACGCCTGTATGAATGTTATTGTTACAGACCTGACGTTTCCTGTTCTTGACGCTTAATTTAAATTATAACGCATTTCGTTGAATGTGATAATTATTTTCACATTAACTTACTAGCTGTACACGCGACTCCGTCCGCGTGGAATTTATCTTTATTTTTCTAAAATACTTATACTTATATAAATTTTAGGACAATTGAAAATGTTCATGCAAAAATATTATCTTAGAATAGAATAGAATAGAATAGATAATCATTTATTCAAATAAACTTACATTGAAGCACTTTTGAATAGTCATAATATTTTTTTTTTTAATCTACCGCTCATTCGGAATGCTGTCTCATCACAAGAAGAACAAGCAAGAAACTTGTGTGTTGCTCTTTTAAATAATTTATTCTTACTTACAATTTAAGTTTAAGTGTGTGAATACAAACCACCGATTAGCACTAATTCAATTAAATAATAAAATACAAAAAAAAACATTCAATATACAACAACTGGTTAAACAATTAATAAGAGAAAATAAGTCATAGTGATTAGAGCAGACCAGAAATTACCCAGATTATACCAGAGATTAGAAATGTGGAGTTTACTTTTGGAAAATTCTTATAACAATTCTTTATGACTAGATTTTCCCGCGACTTCGTACGCGTGGAATTCAACTTTATTTTTGTAGAATAAAAGATTTTTTTTAAAATAAAAGTAACCTAAGTTATGTACTCCTTATTACATCAGCTACCTGCCAATAAGTCCCATCGAAATCGGTCCTGGCATTTCACAGATTAGCCGTAACAAACAGGCAGACAGATAAAAATTGTAAAAAATGATATTTTTGTGTATGTACCGTATTTATATTCATATGCATGTAGTAAAAAACGGTGATTTCAATATTACAAACAGACATATATCTATTTTTATTTATATGTATAGATTACCAGCGTTTTCTTCACACTCAGAAATATAAATTAACATACAAAGTTTTTTGTTATCCGCCGCAATTGATCTCACGACCTCTAGCTTGTGAATCGTGATAGAAAACCTTTATTACATTCACAATTATGAGCAACTAGATACGAGTAGCTTAAGCCCCGGCTTCGCACGGGTATACATGTATTATATATATAAATCTTTCTCTTGAATCCCTCTATCTATTAAAAAAAACCGTTTCAAAATCCATTGCGTAGTTTTAAAGATTTAAGTATATAGGGACAGACAGCGACAGCGACTTTGTTTTATACTATGTAGTGATTATGATGATGATGATGATGATACATAATGAACCAGTGTAAAGTCAAAATCAAAATGTATAATATACTGCATAATTTTTTTTTAATTACTGTCGCGTACAAGCAGCAACAAAACGCAACACAAAAGGAGCGTTCTGATTGGAGCGCACACCCATCCAATTCAAATACGCAACGTAATGTAACAGACTTAAAAATATCAACCGACCGATCTAACGTACATTTTGTTCACTCCACCAAATTTGAGCATTCGAGCCGCATCATCACGTACCAATTACGAATAACTAATTATTTAAGATTTCATTTGATCTTTGATATCGTAGATATGGCATGTAAGAGCAAGATGAATTTTAATTTCTAATCGACCTCTGAAACTTTTTCTGTAGGAAGGTAAATCAAACAATTCAATAGGTAACTAGTGTTTCAGGAGCCTGAAATAAATCGTTTGATGAAAGACTATTACAGTCGACAAATAACGTTTTAATTTTCCATTTCGTGCAAATTGTCTCGGACTCTTTACTTTAATGAAAATGATTTTAATAGATATTGGAGAGAATGCTATTCTATTTTCATTTTAAATAATAAGAAAGTATATATATATATATATAGCTGTCCCGGCAAACGTTGTTTTGCCATAAAATAAAAATAAAAAATTTAGGGGTGGACTACCCCTAACATTTAGGGGGATGAAAAATAGATGTTGGCCGATTCTCAGACCTACTCAATACGTTCACAAAATTTCATGAGAATCGGTCAAGCCGTTTCGGAGTGGTATGGGAACGAAAACTGTGACACGAGAATTTTATATATAAGATAATCATAATAATTTACAACTCACACAACGCCATCTAGACCCAAGTGTTATGGGTACTAGCTAACTGATGCAAATACTATAAATAAATAATAGATATCTTATTTCGTAAATACATAGAAAACACCCTGACCGATACAAACAATCATACAAATGTTTGTGCGTGCGAGGAATCGAACCCGCAACCATCGGACGTAAACCGGCGTGCTACCACTAGACCACCGAGGCCGTTAAACTGTTGTATTAATATTAACTGTATTATTAGTGTATGTAACTGACATATGTGAATAGTACATTGGCGTGATGTAAATTGATATAAATTATGCCTAAGGGTGCACACCCCTCTCAAAATGATTAAGGGTAGATGGAAAATGATGTTGTGTGAAAGGAACGACCACTTCTGAAGATCATTTGAAGGGACATATGATGTTAGGAAACACTTCATCATCAATTTTCAATTGAAGTGCCTACATTGTTAAGTGTTTACAGGACATAGATACGCTACTAGCTGTTCCCGCGACTTCGTCCGCGTGGAATTTAACTTTATGTTTCTAAAATAATAGTAGCCTAAGGAAATAAAAATTATTTTATTCGTCCTAATATCTGATAGATTCAAACTAATACATTCACATCCTGCATCATCCCTTATTTTATCCCCATGGGGGTTGAATTTATCAAAATCTTCATCATAGTAGCTCCAACTTTAATTCAGTTGAGTGAACTGAAGTCGAAAATCTAAGAAGATTTATACAAACTTTCATCCCCTATTTTATCCTCTTAGGGGTGGAATTTATCAAATGTCCTTTCTTAGGGGATGGCTACGTCGTAGTAGCTTTGTGCATGCAGTCACAGCCCGATCGGTTTAAAATTGACAAAGTTTCATACGGTTCAAACTAATACACTTACATCCTGCATCATCCCTTATTTTATCCCCATGGGGGTTGAATTTATCAAAATCTTCATCATAGTAGCTCCAACTTTAATTCAGTTCAATCAGTCGAAAATCTAAGAAGATTTATACAAACTTTCATCCCCTATTTTATCCTCTTAGGGGTGGAATTTATCAACTGTCCTTTCTTAGGGGATGTCTACGTCATAGTAGCTTTGTGCATGCAGTCTCAGCCCGATCGGTTTAAAATTGACAAAGTTTCATACAAACTTACAACCCCTATTTTATCCCCTTAGGAGTAGAATTAATCAAAATCCTTTCTTAGCGGATGCCTACGTCATAACATCTACCTGCATGCCAAATTTCAGCCCGATCCGTCCAGTGGTTTG